CTCACTAATTTATCAAATTTCCACTTAATTCCTACACATTAAACCTTCCTAATACTTAAGATAAAATTTTTGCACAACAACCTACTCTTCACCTATGATGGCCGAACATGTAGAGGAAATCATAGGATTTTTTTCTAATTTTTTTACATACATACAAATGCTTATTTTCATTTCTTACATCCAAGACATCAAAGATTCATCATTAAATCAAAGTTTAATACACAATGCTTTCCTACCAAAACATACTCATAACTTTTATAACTCAAATCATCAAAATAATACCATGGAAATAGAGGTTCATTACCTCCCAAAGCTTATACAAGGTCTAGAAGGTGACCAACAAACAAGACTCCACCAAAAACCCCCTTTTTCACCTTGGATGAATAGTAATCCAAAAATGGAGTGATGAATATCTCCCTCCACAAACGAAATCAGCTCAAATGGAGGGGTGGAATAGCTTCCTTGGATGATTTCCTATGAGATTGGTATATTGGGTGAAAGATTTGGTGGAATATTGGAGGAGAAATCAAAGAAGACAAAACCAAAACCCTCACCCCCCTTCCATAGCTGCTGATCGGTTCCAAGGAGAGAGAAAAGAGTGTTTTTCTTTGAGTGAATAGTGATCACATAAGTCACTTATGTTTTATAGCACATGTGGCTTTTACCCGGGTATTTTTCTTTCGCGTATTTTCACTTAAACTAACCCGGAACTAACTCAAGACTACAAATGTATTTTTATTTTTTCTAATATCATTTACATAAATTTTTATTTCCTAAGGAACAACATTCATAATTCACAGCATGGTTTTTGCACCGTTTTTGACGAAATGCACTGTGAATCGCTAATTGTGCTTCATTTATTTATGAAACTTAAAACTTATAAACTTATCATTTTCTTGGGCCTATATTGACTTGCTTGGCATATATTGGACTTTCTTATTCTTATTTCATCAATTATTTATTTCTGGACTCTACCGGTTGCTTAAACAGCAGTACAAAATACCCGGTAGAAACACTATTCACGAGATTTTCACGGAAAGTGCCAGACTATACAATTTTTCGTTCTGAACTCATATTTGTCGTCAGAATTATCAAATTATGTCTCTAAAATTATTTTGCTCTTTTAAGCTCTACCGGTTAATTCACAAACTGTAAATTCTCCGGCAGAACGCACTGTTCATAACATAGTCATGATTATAGTCAAAATACTCGGAATCACTCACTGAATCTAATTATGACATTTAAATCCTTAAATTAAATCTCTAATTAAGATTTACTATTTAGGGTCATTATACATTACATGGGTACATACACAACATAATAGGAGTTCAAGTTGCCTTTGCATGATTATTCGTGCCTGTTTGAATCCTTTTACTTTTTGTTTCTCTTCTCCTTATAAGCAGAAGTTACGCCAAACAGGTTTTAAGAAAAACTCTTACAATGAAAACTCTTTTTTTATAATAAAAAAGTCAAAAGTTTCTAGGAGGAGCTTTTTTTAAGCTCTTATCAACTTTTCTTGAAATGTGTGTTTTTAAGCTATCTTTTAGGGTTTTTTTTAAGTTTTTTTTTAGCTTTAGCTTAAAAAAAAAGGATCCAAATATGCTCCTAGTTCATTGAAGACTGCCATTTCCTTTTCACTTTGTTTTGGTCCTATAACTTATTCTTTTTTACATGTTTGAATAGATGATATTAAAGTGCTCATTAACCACCAATAACTTTTGATTTCCAGTGACAATTAATTTATGGATAATATTACTCTCATGTAACATGAGAGTAGTTCTCTTATGTTACAGAGAGAATCCAAGTAGGGCCCGCTATTTAAAAGAAAAAAAGAAAAAGAAAAAGAGGCACGATTTTCGAAGTGAGAGAAAATGAGATAACTACCTTATGTAAAATGAGAGTAGTATCTCCCTTAATTTATTTCCTTTAACAATAGGTTTAGAGTTTAAGTTTTCATAATAAAGAAAATGATATTGGGAGAGTCACATTCAATATGAGTTTAACTTTACTCGAATCGAATTACACTAGGTGTAGGTTAGATAAAAAGAATTACCCATTTAGCTCTCGTATTTGGAATGTGGAACCATTAAAAGTTTAATGACATTCCATCATTTTTTTATAAGAAATAAATAAATGCACCATTAGGTGATAAAATAAAAAATATTTGTAAAGTAATATATTAAAATTTCATTAAAAATCTTTAAAATAACTTGTCAAAATCAAATGAAATTTTGATAGTAATAATAAATAATAATATATTGACATTTCTCTAAATAAAATATTATAAAATTAGATTTTTTAAATTAGAATTTTGAGTTAGCATGCTTTCTATGAGTGATCTGTATTATTATTAATTTCTGATTGAGAATTTTTTTTTAAGAAAAGTGATGTTATCATATTCTCAAGGCAATGCATGTCATGAGTATCAACTATCAACCAATGAGTCACTAGTACCTTCAAATATTTTAAAATTTTTATTCATACAGTGTTTTATATATCACTACTGTTTTATTTTTCTCATGCATATATTATAAATATATGAATATATAACACAATTTAATATTTTTCTTTACTAAATCTCGTTTATTGACTGATTGACCAATTTAATAAAAAATCAAATACTGAAAAATTTCAAAAAAATATTAACCAAATTGGAACTGTTTGTACGCATTATACCATCTAACACTGTTAAGATGTCACGTAGATTGATGACAACCTTTATAAAATATTGACCCAACAGCACGCCTTTTACATTCTCAGGCATGGCGTATTGGTTTGTGTCTTAATCTTTGCGACACACATCTCTAGAGGTAGGTTTCTGGTTTGATCCCCTATAGGTTGCAAATTCCAAATACTTTTGTTTTCGATCTTAAAAAACAATAACTGTCCATTCCTATATGCTTCGAGAACACAAGTCCTTTTCACATAAAATCACTATTTTATTTAAAAAAAAGGGCACTATTTTAGCCACCTAGCCACATAGTGGAAATTTTAAATACCTTACCACGTTGAAAAAGTTAAAATTAAATTATATTCATAATATAAATTAGGATAATTTTTTTTTCTTGGTATAACTTGGAGACAGCTCGAAGGCTATTTCTCATTGGAACAACGAGTGTACGAAGACAGTGTTTAAACTCCTGATCCAAGCAAATTCTTGAAAGTTTTCAATTATCAATTAAGCTACCCTTCAGAGGTATTTAAATTAATTTTTGTTTAGTAGTAAAATAGACTATCATGATAAATTAAATCTCTCTAAAATTATATTTAAAAAATATCGTGACAACTAAACACTCTAAAAATGCAATCCAAAATTTATACAAAAATAAAGGAGGACTTATAACAATATTTCAAAATTGTCAATAGAGATAAGTTATTTTCGGTAAGCACAAAATGACATCATTTTATGATAAAAATCAAAGTGATTTTGTAATTCTAATTTATTGCAGAGTTATATCCGTCTTTATCATTATAATTTTTTAATCTTACAATTCTAAAACAATATCATTTTAGCTCACCGGAGATAATTTTATTTCCTGAAGTAATATTTTTCTTTCAAAATTTATCAAATTAAACTCAACTTTTTTTTTTTTTTTTTATAACAATTAAACTCAACTTTACCGATACAGTTCTATCCTATTCTAAACCATCAAGCCAACTTTCATTACCCATAATTTTAACTCATTCTTTCTCCATTTGTAACATTTTAGTCTTTTTTAATAACGCGAAGCATATCCTTGCCAACGCGAAGATTCGTGAGATTGGGCGAAAGGTCCGAAGAAAAAGCACGATGAAATAGTCGAAAGCCGAACGCAATAAAACACGGCATTAGTCAAATTAATATATTTATTTTTTCTGTTGTCTTTTGTTTTTATTTTTTTAATAATTAAGTAAGCATCGTAAGAAGGACCCACAAAACGGCTAATATCACGTGAAGGTCACCCACAGAATCGGAAATTTTGCACCCTTTTACTGAAAGAGCCACCTTTAACATCATCACCGTCGTGCCTCCACGTGGCCCACAACAACTGGTCGGTGACGTTGTAGAATAGTCAATAGAGAACCACCAACTTCCACTCTACCTTATTTTATTTTAGATAGTTAAATGAAAAGAAAATTGAAAATACACATTCAATTTTTTTTGATGACGTAGCTTTATAATGAGCCTGAATAATGGTTTTTTTTATTTTTATTTTACGACTATTGTTATTCTTATAAGGAAGAAAAAAGATAAAATCTCAACAAATATACTATAATTTTTTTATTGTATTTTAAAATAACATAAAATTATATTCTTTCAAATAATAAATGCTTTGTCCATGAAATAAAATAACCATATTATCTCTCCTTTCAAGTTATTAAGTTTATCTATTTACATAAATAATTAACATAGTTTAAGAGTTAATTACTCTACCGATCTTAAATTATTAAATATTTTAACTAATAAGAAATTTTAAAAAAATAAATAATTAAATCTAAAAACCAAACACTATGACATATATATTTCATTTTCAAAATAAAAAAACTAAAAGCACAAACAATGTGAAAAATAAAATTTTAGTGTCCGTTGCATTAAATTTTAATTGCTGATCCGCTTCCAACTCGAGATTAGAGTAAAATTTATGGAGATATTAAGAGAATCATTTTCATCTCAAAATAATAATTAGAATTGATATTTAAAAAAGGAAAATTAGGGTCATTTAATTTTTTTTTTTGTTCTAACGCTCTTAACGTGGAGTCAAGAGTATCAGATCCGACCTCCACCAGCCGTTAACAAACGGCTAAACGGGAACCAGATTGTTACCAACCAACGAACCCAACAGCCGCCGTTAGCGCGTAGCCGAAGCGGCCGTTGCACGCGAATTCTAACGTTTTTGATAGCGACGTGCCTATCTTTCTCTTTCTCTCTCGTTTGTTCATCGTTTGTTCCTACGGTTCGGTTCCTACGTTGGTGTTCTTTCGTTCTTTCTCTCTCTCTCTTTGTACGTGTCTCTGTCTGCGACTCCGTACGGAATTCGATACTCCAAAGAAGAGGGGGCGCCATTTCGATCTCAGAAAGCGATACCCATTTTGCTTTTGTTCCCTCTCTCTTTCACTCTCATCAGGTATATTTATCATTGCGTCTAACGCGACGCCGTTTTACCTCAGGTTGAGGAATCAATGCAATGCTGTTCTTTTTGTCCCTTGTGGCATCAATCGTCGGTGGATGAGTTTGTTCATTGATCTGCGACTTTTGGGTTTTTGTTCCTTTCATGATCTTTTGATCAGCTCAGCTGTGATGTTTTGATTTCAATTTTTATTAGTGATTGTGTACGTGGATTCTGTGTGTTTGATTTTAGATTTCTTCTTTAGGTATTCTAGATTTCCTCGAGTTTGCATTCGTTGTTGTCAAATGTGGGTCCTTTTTTTCTTCTATTCTCTTCTTGATGCGGAGATCACATAGGAAGTGAAATGTTGATTTTTTTTTTTTTTTTTGGCATCATGGGTTAAATTTTTTGATTGATCTACAGTTTTCGGGATCTAATCCAGCTGAATGATTTACTTGTGTTACACATGAATTCATAGATAATTTTGTGGATTTCTTCAAGTGTAAGTCTTAACTGTGGAACGTTAATAGATTCCCAAGAGTTTGCAATTGTCGTTTTACATTTTACTTTAAGTTTTTCTGTGATGTAGGGGTCATGTAGGTAATGGTGTAATGCAATGTTAGTCTTAGTTGTGTCAAGAGTTAAATATGTTGATTGATCTGTTTTTTCTGGGTTTTGTTCTGTAAGGGATTTAATCCAGCTGAATAGTGTTATTACTTGTGTTATACCTTAACTGGAGAGTATTCTAGATTCTGATTTGCATATGTTGTTATTGAATGTAGTTACTGTTTTTTTCTTGGTGCAGAGGTCATCTAGGTGCGGATTGCTTGTGTCTTGAATAGAATGCCAGGTACAACTCTTGTCTGGCCTTAAGATGTTGATTTTGTTGAACATATCTTTGCTATTCTGTTTGTGTTTTGGGATTGTAGTTTTGACAATTGATGACTATGGGTTTAGGAGAAGAAGTATTAGTTGAAGAAGATGAGAGGGGTAGAAGTTTGGAGCCTGAAACATCTGAGGATGAGTGGCGGAAGTCTCAAGCCAGATCTATTAGGAGGAAAGGAATGACTGCTTCAACGAAACTCACTTATAGTCTCAGGAAGCGAAGTAAGCGTGTAGCCGATTATCAATTTGCTTCAATTTTCATAGAAGATGTCCGTGATGCCAATGAGGAAGAAGCTGTGAATTCTTTTCGTCTGACATTACTTACTAGAGATCTGCTTCCAGATTCCTATGATGATTATCACACAATGTTGAGGTAAATGAATGTGTAACAGAAGTTACTTTTCTATTGAGTATGCAGTTTCTCTTTTCATAGCTCAGTTTTATCACTTTATATGTGTTAAATAAATGGAAATATCATTGTTTATGTTGTTCATATCTCTTGATTCCTCTTCCACGGGTGCAGTTTATTCTTCCTCCTTCAAAGACAAAATCCGCACGGGGAGAGGGGGGGGGGGGGGGGTTATTAATATTACTGTCCATTGTGTAGATGAATTAAATCCACCAGTTTAATTATACGAATTGTTTATCCAGATTGCCATTCTTTGATGTTTGATAACTTTTTTTTTTCCAGGAACTTCTAATGATAATTAAAGAAATCCTGTTTGATTATTTTTCTAGACAATTTTTTTTACAAAAGAAAAATCTTTAGGTGTGCAGTATAATACAGGCTGCTGATGTTTTCATGCTGCAGGTTTCTGAAGGCCAGAAAGTTTGACATTGATAAAACAGTCCAGATGTGGACAGATATGCTCCATTGGAGGAAGGAGTTTGGAGTAGATTCTATTTATCAGGTAAAGTTTTGTAGTTGTTTGTTTTCCTCTTACATAATAGAGAAGCTATTCTTTACTATTTATGCACAAAGATTGAGTGAGCTTTGCTGAATTTTCAACTCAAAACAGCCACCCAAACATGTAGTAGAGTAAGGAGAAATCCTGTGCAGTATTCCTTTTGGAAGATTTTCCCAATATTATTTGCATGATCTGAAATTATTTCAATCTCTCCATCGCTGAAGGAACAGTGTTAATGTGTAGGAATTCATATATGATGAGTATGAAGAGGTTCAGCGTTATTATCCTCATGGTTACCATGGTGTGGACAAAGAGGGGCGACCAGTTTATATTGAAAGACTCGGCAAAGTTGAACCGACCAAGTTGATGAGTGTCACCACAGTAGATCGGTTTTTAAAATATCATGTTCAGGGATTTGAGAAAATGTTCAAAGAGAAATTCCCAGCATGTTCTATTGCAGCAAAGCGGCACATAGACAGAACAACAACAATATTGGATGTGCATGGCGTGGTAAATTCTACGTTTGCAACAACTTCATATCAGAATAGCCTAAATAACATTCTATGGAAGTGCAAGCTTCTTATTATTTTGTATATTTTGCAGAATTGGGTGAGCTTTAGCAAAATTGCACATGATCTTGTTATGCGCATGCAAAAAATGGATGGTGATAACTACCCTGAGGTAATTTAAATGTTATAGGAAGTTGAATTTAACTTGGTGAACAAATCATAGTTTATGGGCTTCCATGTTTTCTTTTGCTTTAGTGATCTTTAAAATGGCTATCTCAACTTAGGAATTCAATTGTGTGATCTCTTATGGAGAATTCTTAAAAAATACAAAAAAAAGAAAAGTAAGCAAGCTTATGTTTGTTTCCAAAGGAAGGGAGAGAAAGTGAAATGAACGAGACAGGAGTCTAGATGAACTCCATGGAAGCTGTAGAGGCCATTTTCTCCAAGGGAATAAGAACCTCATCAGAGTCCTTAGATTTCACAAAGCAAGAGTAAGGATGAACTCAAAATATAAAGTCATCTTGTGCAAACTTACTCACACTATCAAGATTCTAGGTGATTGAGGGAACCAAATTTAAATTTTTGAGGTGTAGAGTAGTGTATGGATGGAAAGGTGAGTGAAATTTGGTGGAACCAATGGCTGTAATTGGCAAACCTTGCCCATTCCCCATCAACATTTGATCAGAACCATTGAGTTGAGTGCTCGGAACTCTGAAATAGATTATGGGGATCATAATTGATGTGATGCTTAAATCAAGGAACCGCCTCTTTGATTTCGTATTCTTGGGGATTATAACACGGGGATTTCGTATTCCAGAAGATTGCGTTTTTTAACTTTGAGGTGACATCAGCATAATGGTGTGCTACAGAAAGTGCTTTTGAAAGAGTGGCTTGTCGGTGCATTTCAAGTTGCACCTCTTGCAATAGGAGTAAGGACTCAAGTTTTGCCATTGTGCACGACTTCACACGGCTGTTGATGGAGGTGTTGAATGCCCTGTAATCCTCCAGTAAACCATCGAGAATAATATTCGCATAGTCTCATAGAGTAGTAAATCCTCATCAGCTTGATTTGTGAGAGATATTCAGAATTAGATTGGCCTCCTTTTTCATGCTTCTGAGCTCAGCTTGAAGTTGTCGAGACTTGGCTCGCAATTGAGAGTGAAAGTAATTGTGGATCTCATTCCACACTTGCCAAGAATGTGTACATCCAATGAATCTTGGAAAAACTGATTCAGAAAGAAAGGAGAGGAGCCAGGAAAACAACATTTGGTCTTGTTGCTCCCACTTCTGGTGATTTTCGTTGTCCCTGTTCATATCTTTATCTCTTTCAGAGAGGAATCTCATCAGAATTTCCAGATTGACCACATAATGGTGGATATGTTGTGCCTCAATCACTGCCTCAACTTGCTTCTTCCACAGCAAAAAATTTCAATAATCTAAATGCACTGATTGGATATGAGAACAATACTGGAGCAGATTTTCTCTGGTTTACAGTGGAAGAAGATGCAGAGGGTTGATTTGTGGTTGAAGAACCACCTGGAACTGGAGATTTGGAAGTACTGCTTCATTGTCTTGTGGTGCTGCCGTAGTGCTGTGTATCAGGCCCTAGATTAGGGCTCTGATACCATAAAGGAAACTGAGTGAAAACAAAGGAAAGGGAGAGAAAGTGAAATGACAGAGAGAAGAGTGATTCTGAATGAAACTGTTATTATTGTAAAAAACTAAGATACACTGTTACAGAGAGGAACTATTTATAGAACGATAGAAACTTCTGATACAAGCTAGTGACGCTGACATAACCTAGGAAGCATGGACACTCCAAAAAACAGGGAGTGTCATGTCTGACACGGTGTCCGACGCACGGTTAACATTCCCGACACGTTGACCATTTCGACACGCGAATTTGACCATGGCCAACATGTTCCAACACGGTCAAATGGCATTTTTATAAAAATATTATTTTTTTAAAAAAATTAAAATATATTAATAAAGTTTCCACCTGATCATATCAATTTTTCCCCCTTTTTTCCCTCTTAGGTAGATAATAGATCATCTCAGCACCATTGTTGTCATTCCTGTTACGCCCTTGCTATGTCTCCTTCTCTTTGATCTCTCTCTCTCTCTCATCCCAGTTCCTGTTTTTTTTATTAAAGCTTCCACCTTTATAACGTTTGATTGTGTTCTTGATGTTCTTTTATTTTGCAATGTATTCAGTAAATAATTTTAGATTTGATTCCTTTTCTTTTAGTTTATGTTTTTGCCTTTTGAGAAGAATGTTGCTACGATTCTTAGTATTAGGTGTCAGTGAATTTTTTTTTTTGCTGTTGTTGCCATTGGTTACACTATATAAATTAAAAATATTATTTAATATTAAAACGTGTTCCAACGTGTCGAAATCCAAATTTTTTTAGGATTGACGTGTTAGAGTGTTGTGTCGTGTCACGTATCGCGTGTCGCGTCGGTACTACATAGGACATAACCATAACTGAATGCCAGATGGGCATAACTGCATAACTGAACCCGTAACAACTCTAACAGTTGTCTAACAGCTAGAGTAACAACTAACAAGTTATTCTAGGCTCAATAGCTGGGGATAGCTGTGCACTAACAGTTGTTACTCTAGTACACACATGTAGGAAAGGAACCTGAATCAGGGATACAAACTGCAATTGTGGTTAATGAACCCATGATGCCTATCCGTAACATACTGCATACTAATATTTAAATCTTACTGTGTACTGTACCCTTACCACAAAACAAAAGTTGCCTCAGGTAATTTGGGTGTACAGTCATTGTTTTGAATGTGCTCATTTTTTTTCAGACATTAAACCAGATGTTCATTATTAATGCTGGTAGTGGGTTCAAGCTACTATGGAGTACAGCAAAAGGTTTTCTTGATCCAAGGACCACAGCCAAAATACAGGTCTATAAGTATATTATTTTTATGTGCTTTGACTTTAGAAAGGAATGAGCATAGTTTAAATGATTCTTGCTGAATTTACAGGTTTTAGGCAACAAGTACCAGAGCAGATTGTTAGAGGTTATAGACTCAAGGTTTGTATTGTGTTTGTACTGTCTCAGTTAATTAAGTGCTTCTATCTCTCTGATAATGAATATTATATGATTATTATTATTTTTTTGAACAGTCAACTTCCGGATTTCCTGGGCGGAAGTTGTTCATGCCCAAATAATGGAGGATGTCTTAGATCTAACAAGGGACCTTGGAGCGATCCTGACATTATGAAAGTATGGTATTATTAGGATTATGGCTCCTGCAGTGTATCAACTCACATTTAAGAATTATTGCTCAATTCGACAGCTAATGCTCCCTTGTTCTGTTTACAGTTGTTATATTCTAGAGAAGCAATGAAGCTAACAAAATTTGGAAGTTCTTCTGCTGATAAATTAGATGTCAAGTCATATGCCAGCAAGGTCACTCATTAATTGCCAGTGCAGTAATTTTGCTGTACAATTCACAAATCTTATTCATACTCTTTTGCATGATGTAAAGCTTTACTATAACTTTTTCTTCACAGGTTAGAAGCACTGAAATATCTGAAACTGGATCAGCATCAGAAGCAAGATTGAGTCCTTCAGCCTTCGTGCAATCAGTTACTTCTAGTGAGAAAGTGAGCGGTCTTTCTATTTTCCTTATTTTTGGTTTTTTAATCTTTCTTATACATTTTATATATTAGAGTTGAAACTGTAGTCCGAAGGTATGAGATTTAGGGAATGAAGTAGGGGATGGAAGGGGGCTGTGGACTCTACTATGAACATATGTGCTTGGTCATTGGTTGAGTTTGTCTAAATACTATTTTGTTTTGATATCAACATGTGAAGTTTAATGGTTTAATTGTCCAAACCTACAGATTTCTGGTAAATTCAACAAACAGACTAGTTTTCTTTCCCTTTGACCATTGAGGATCTGCGTCGTCTTTTTTTTTTATCTTGAGATTCTCTGGGTAAAGTTGATGGTTAGTGAAACACTTTTGTTGGTTCCAAACCAGCTAAGCCTGGCATTTGGGCTAACTGAAATATGGGTAGGGATACTTTTGGTGCGAAAATAAAAAATTTGAGAATAAATTAAACCAAAAGAAAAATATCTTTAATGAAATTGGAAATCTATATAACCTTTAACACTTAATTGGTTACTTTTTATTTTGAATTCCTCTGAATAAATTTGATGGTTAGTGAGCCAGCTTCTTGGGTTCCCACACCAGCTAAGTCTGACATTTAGATTGATGGAAATATGGGTATGCAATAACCTAGATGCCAAATTTAGAATTAGAGGATATAATTAAACCTAACAAAAAAGAAGGAAAAAGATTTGGAATAAAATTGTAAGTCGATAATCTGTAATATTTTAATTGATGATTAAAAGACAAATTTCAGGAACTGGTCTATATATATTTTTGTGTGAATATAGTACTTTATCTTGGAACTTTTGTCTAAACTATAGGTTATCTGCAACTCATGTATGATATGTAACTATATTTCAGAAATGGATAAGAGACCGTGCACCTATCTGCAACCTAGTTGAGCCAGACCCAGTCAATGCTGTCAGAGAAGTTGGGGATGTTGATTCAACAAGTATGTGATCCCTTAGCATGTCTTTTGCTAATTATTAGCATGTCTTTTGCTAATTATGGGTTGGTCTGTGTTTTATTGTATTTATTGATATTTATCAGATGATAATAGAACTTGCAACATAACCCGAGATAAATTTGGTTTACATGCATGACTTGAGCCAGGAGAATTTTGATGTAGTTTTAATTTAATAGGAAAATTATTTCACTTGGTCCAGACTTAACCAAGTCATGTGACACATATGCCCTTCTTGGACTTAGCCAGGATGGGATGGAAGCTCCTAAGGCCATCCATGTTTTCAGAACAGTATGGATATTTAATGCTTTGTTTTTCTTTCAGTACCTGAGACTTTTGATTGAAATTTCAATGTGTATGCTCTGTAACATATTATTATTTATTGCTGACATGGTGTATCAGACGGCTTTATTACTTGTTTGGGCCAGTTTGACTCATTGTTTTGTTTCCTTTTCCAGTTAGGAGAATTCCTTATCCTGCACTAATTGTACTTTCTTTTAAAATGGTGCATCTGATAGGTGATTCAAGCAACAATTATCCGAGAAGATCACGGAAGAAGCTAATTCCCTGTATCACAAGTATTTGGGATCAAATCATAGTCAAAGTGTTAGCTTGTATATATGTAGTATTTGCATCCTTGGGGAAATTTTTTGTGGATCGTCTTGCAGACAAACAACGAGGAAGCCATCAGAAAACCCAGTTAGTGGAAACTAGTTCTCCGGAACAATTAAGCACTCCAGCAATAAAAGAGCCACTTTGGCAGAGGTTGCGGAATTTAGAGGCAGTAGTAACTGAGATGGCCAATAAACCAAGAACAATTCCTCCGGAGAAAGAGGATATTCTTCAAGAGTCATTGAGTCGTATAAAATCTATTGAATATGACTTGCAAAAGACAAAGAAGGTAGTGCCAGTCTCCTACCATAAAATTGGTTACTTTGAAGGACATATTACTTAGAGAATTAACTTTACTTGAGTTGATTGAGTTCCCTGCTTCATTTTAGGCACTGCTTGCAACTGCATCAAAGCAAGTTGAGCTTGCTGAGTCACTGGAAAGCTTAAAGGAGAGCAGATTTGATGTAAGTTGCTTTTACTCCTCACTTTCAGTTTGAGAAATGTCAAGATCAACATCATTGTTAGGAAACCACCTATCACCAAAGGGTACACTTAGAGCTGTCAAAATGTTAAGCCCTAGCTCATATGGGTTAGGGTCAAAAGGCTCACAACAATAGAGGCCTGCACGACCCAAAAGTCCTATGGGTTAAGGTCAATTTGTGAGCCATCCAAAGTTATAATTTTAATAAAATTCATTTCTTTTATTGGATTCAATGCATTTAAAATTATTTTAATAAATAAGTATTTATCACTTTCATAAAATATTTTATTCGAAATACGGACTTTTCATAATTTAATTTTCTTAGTGAATTAATATTTGCTGACAAATATACAATTGAAATGCAAGCAAAATTTTAATTATTATCTCAATAATGCTGAACATTCTATCAAAAATATTAAAGTGCTCATTTCTTATGATATCATGGAATAATAATATTTATTATTGAGTAATAATTACAGTGAAGATTTTTACCATTCAGTAAACTTTTGAGTATATTTTTTAGTAAAAGTTAGTTAAACAAGACTTTGTATAGCCCTATCAACTTTTCTGTTGTAACAACGGTCAGCAATTAATGATCAACACTTAGTAATTAATTTGAATATTTTTTCTTTTTCGTTTTGTAAATTTTGTCAACAAAATTGTGATGATTGATATGTTATTGAGCATGTGAAATTCATCACATGATATGATTATATTAAAATTAGATATGAGATGATGCATTCTCATAGGACTTATCCTTGCATGCAATATTTTTTGTTTTTTTGATTCATGAAGAAAAGCAAAAACAAAGGAGAAAGACAAGACACTAACGGCCACCCCTAGGGTGAGGAGTGGCTGAGAAGTCCGGAAGCACATACAAGAGTAGACCAGGAGGAGGTTCTGAATAAACATAATCATCTTCCATGTCCGGTTGATCAAGCATAGAGTTTTATTTAACTCAACAATATTAATTCTTAATAATTAGGAAAATTATATTTTTTTTAACATTCCAAAATTTGGATGACTCGGACAATGTAAATTCCTATTTTAATTTCTCTTAAATTATTTAAATTTTGATATAAGTTCATTTTTAAGTATTGGATTTATATATATTTTAACTTTAAAGTTAATTTTATTGCAAATATCATATAATAATGAAGGAAATATAATTTTAAATAGAGAAAGAAATATCTTTTACTTAAAATAGTTCAGAATAACAATTAAAATAAGCAATTTTTTTTTATTGAATTGTTAAAATATGTATTCTATAAAATTCTATATGTATATTATATTTTTATCATTATATTATATTCAATATTATTTTATATTTATAAATATTTAAATTTATACATTTTTTATATTTTTAAATAATAAAAATTTGGATAAAGAAATTTTTTTGGCATGTGGATAAAAGATATCCTAGTTTGCTAAAACATAGGGTTTTGAGGATTAAAACTATATATAGGGCTTTGCAGTCTGACCTGGGAGTGATGGTAGGTACACTTGGAAGAGCTAGGATTAGAGCTTTAGGCAAGGAATGGGTGTGACTAAGCTTAGGAGGGAAAAGAGTGTATCAGAAAGGATAAAAGAAAGAGCTTAGGGGTAGGAAAGAATTATCTGGGAAGTTCATAGGGGGAGAGAACATGCCTCTTAAAAAGCCTGCTATGGTTTCGTTTTCATCTTTTCTGCTGTAAACATCATATAAGATCACAGATGGCAGGAATGTTAATCCAATATCCATTGTTTCTTGTTCTGCTTCATATGATCTCAATCCAGTTCCAAACAGACTGTTTGACAAGTGATAAGTTTACTTATATGGAAATTTTACTCTTAAGCAAGGAGAAAAACCAACACATAGTTGAATTATGCACATTTGTACAAAGCTGGTTACATTCCGATATATTAATTACCCCTTGATTGTTTAGAAAGGTGTTTCCAGATTGAGTATATTGCCTATATCCCTTGTTATTGTCTAATATATTATTCTCAAAAGATATAGTCATTAATAGGCTTTTTGTGATATTTTTTTCCAACTAAGAACTTCAATTGATTGTTTGTATATACTGATAATGATTACTTCATAAAATACAGGGGACAAACTCATGTTGGCCAAAAAATAGTAAATGTTATGCTCCAGGAAGATGAGTACCCCTTTTCAGCAGCACTTTGCAAAGATTGCTAGTCCATTGTTTTTGATACTCTACAGTTGAATTACTACAAGACATACAGGAAATACTTTTATAGGTGACTTTCCTTCTATATTTTATATCAACACAATTTTGTAGTCTGTCACTCACTCACACACTCCCTGAAAGAATCAGTGGTATCATGTAATGACCTTTTCTTTTCAGGTTTGAGGAATCGGTGGTGGGGAGTAGATACACCCAATCTATACAATGCAGCAAGAAGTTTTTATATGAAGGTCATGGACTCCGAGTTCTTCCTTTTCAGTAGATATAACTGAGTGTGTTAACACATTATTTTTCTTATTGGCTTTTCTGTACAGTGTATACAGATACAAAATATGCTATTCACAATCAGATGTATTTATTTTAATACCAGTAGCATTTGTGCACAACGGGGAACATTTTCTGTGACATATTGTAAGAGATACGGAATGCTTAGCAGTAAATTTTGATTTTACTGGAGGATATGCTTTCCCATGGAATTATAAATTTTATATTTTATCACTCTAGTTTTTAGAGAAATGCTTCTTCGAGAAATTACTTTGTTCGACTTTATCAGGTCAACATATTAGTGAACCAATCTATGTCTTTCCGTTTGCTAGTGTTTGTTCCCTTCTTATGAAAGCTATTTTTTTCAAAACTGGTTGAATCAACTAGAGATTCAGACTGAAGAGTGGGTCATGATTTTCGGTGGAACCAAATAGTTCAATTGTTCTGGCCTGGACAGGCCCATATGCTGGGCCGGACAACTAAAGGCCCATCAAAGGTCCTACTAGTTCATATCCCTTAGGTGAGCACATAATCTTCATCATAGAGAATCTTTTTCTTCATGCACAGCTTACCATCGTACATCCACGGTGGTGAGACAACGTCTCACTGCAATAATGGGTGCAAGGGTTAACTGTTTTGGGTCGCATTTTTTCTCTCTTATCATCATTGAGGAATACCCTCTAAAAACCCATCTTCTCCAACAAAGGAGGCACTTGGTATGTAATATTTTTATGAGTTGTTATTCTGTTGAATTTTAGATTTACCATAACCTACATACATTACCTCTCGCAACCATCTTTGCCATAGCAGTTCCGATGATTTTCCTTGAGTTTTGGTTTATATCATTGATTCTTGGAACACCCGCATATAAATGTACTTCACCCCTTGAAAGATACAGACCTATCTCTTAACCCATAATAGTTTAATAATAAGTATATTCAATGTAGTTGAAAAAGAGATAATCTTATTCATAAAATTTTGTATCACATCTTTACAATTGCTCTCTATTTAAAGAGACTAAATAACCTAATGGGCTAAGCCCAAAGAAGATTCTAGAATGGAAATAAATAAATAAAGAAATAAGCAAATACACTTATTTACAGCATTCCCCCTCAAGTTGAAGCTAGTAAGCTCTTGAAACCTTTCTGAGGGAAGTCCCTTTGTTAGAATATCAGCTAATTGACGTCCAGAAGGGATGTATGGAGTGGTGATCAACCCTTCTCAAGCTTATCTTTGATAAAATGGCGGTCGACCTCAATGTGCTTAGTCCGATCATGTTGAACTAGATTATGAGCTATACAAATGGCAGACTTATTATCACAAAACAGTTTCATAAGTCCTTCACATCTTATTTTAAGATCACCAAGTATAATTCTCAACCACAATAATTCGCAAACGCCTTGCGCCATAGCTTGAAATTCAGCCTCAACACTCGATCTGGCAACCACATCATGCTTTTTACCCCTCCATGTCACTAGGTTACCACAAAGAAACATACAATAACCCGTGGTAGATCGACGATCAATTACAGATCCAGTGTAATCAGCATCGATATAAACTTCTAAAGAGAGATTGCCATTACGCTGGAACAATAGTCCTTTACCAAAGTGGCTTTAAGATACTGAAGAATTCTCTCACTGCCTGCATTAGTTTTTCTTTTGGATTATGCATGAACTGACTTACAATACTGACAGCATAAACAAGGTTTGGTCTAGTATGAGCCAAATATATCAGTCTCCCAACTAACTATTTATATTGTCCTTTATCAACTAGAAGACCCGCTTCTTCATAACCCATCTTGTGATTCTGCTCAATAGGAGTACTAGAGGGTTTACCCAATTTTCCCGCTTCTTTAAGAAGATCAAGGACATATTTCTTCTGGCTGATAAAAATTCCTTCTTTGAATGAACTATCTCTATCCCTAGGAAATATTTCAATCTCCCAAGATCTTTAATTTCAAACTCAGAGGCTAGTCGTGTTTCTAGAAAATGTTTATCCCTAATATCATCACATGTTATAATAATATCATCAACATATACAAGGAGTACAATTAGCTTCACATCTTGGGAGTGCTTGAAGAATAGTGTGTAATCTCCTTGACTCTGTTTATATCCTAAGGCCAGCATAACCTTAGTAAATCTCCCAAACCAGGTATGGGGAGACTGTTTCAATCCATACAAGGCCTTTTTTAACCTGCAAACTTTATTTTCTCCACCCATAGAGCCAAAGCCAAATGGGATTTCCATGTAGACTTCTTCTTCTAACTCACTGTTAAGGAAAACATTCTTCACATCAAATTGATTCATATCCAGTTGTAATGGGCAGCAAGGGACAACAAAGCTCTCACAGTATTCATCTTTGCAACTGGAGCAAAAGTTTCTTCATAATCAATGCCATATGTTTGAGTGTAACCCTTGGCAACTAATTGAGCCTTATATCTCTTAAGAGTACCATCAGAATTATATTTCAAGGCATAAACCCATCTACACCCTACTACTTTCTTTCCATCAGGTCTATCAATAACCTCCCATGTTTTATTTTTCTCCAAGGCATTCATCTCATATTGCATGGCTCGAGCCCAATTCTCATCTTTTAATGCTTCATATACTGATTTTGGGATTGAGATAGAATCTAGTGTTGAAATAAAGCTTTTGTACTGCAAATAAAGGTTAGTAGAAGATACAAAATGAGAGATAGGGTGTTGGGTACAAGATCTTTTCCCTTTTCTTAGGGCAATAGGTAAGTCATCAAAGGTACTGGGTAAGCTATCAGAAGTAACATGCAAATCATTAGAGGCGACATATTAGGTTCAGAAACATGAGAAGTAATAATATTAGGATAAAAAATAAGAGATTCAGGACTTACTAGTGGTTCAGACGGTTGAGGTTGTCGGTGAAGCAATGTGGGTTGCTTTCTCCTGTGATATACCAACTCAGGTGTCACAATCCTCCATAAATCTGGTGTATCAGATGGTCAAACACAAAAGAATTAGAAACAAGATGAAGATGTGTAAGAGAAGACATGGAAGGTCCAGACCCAAAGATAGAATGTGATGAATTTACTGAAGAACTGCTCTCCACCTGAAGATGAGGATTTGGGAAAAAGGACTCAGATTCATGAAATGTGACATCCATTGAGACAAAGAGTTTTCGACTAGCAGGATGATAACACTTGTAGCCTTTCTTATCAGGGGCATAACCAAGGAAGATACATTTGAGAGCCTTAGGATCCAACTTATTACAAAGATGTTTATGAACGTGGACAAAGACAACACACCCAAACACTCGTGGCTGAAGACTCTGTATAGAGGGAACAGAGGGAAATAATGAAGTTATTGAGTGAATAGGACTTACATTGTCAAGGACCCGAGTGGGCAAGCAGTTGATTAAGAAAGCTGCAGTAAGAATGGCATATCCCCAGTAGCACTTGGGTACATGATTTTGAAAAAGTAAGGCACAAGTAACTTCAAGAAGATGACGGTTCTTCCTCTCAGCAACTCCATTTTGTTGAGGGGTGTCCACATAAGTAAGTTCATGAATCATGTCCTGATCTTGGATGAATTTGGAAAGATGCTGATTGACATATTCGGTATTATTGTCGGACCTTAGTTTTTTACTTCTTTTACCAAATTGGGTCTCAATCTTTATAAAATCGAAAGAATAACTGTGGTACCTCAGATTTTTCATGCATTAAATAAACTCAGGTTACACGAGTGCAATCATCAATGAAACAAACAAACCATTTATTACCAGAAGCATGAGGAACTTTAGAAGGACCCCAAACATCAGAATGAACAAGATCAAAAGGTTCAACACTTTTAATGGTACTAGAAGGAAAAGAGACACGATGGTGTTTAGCAAACTCACAAACATCACAATGAAAACTCTCAACAGACTTAGACGAAAATAATGATTGAAATAAAGACTTAAGCAAACGAAATGGAGGATGCCCCAAACGTTTTTGATGGAGCCAAATCAAAGAGTCGGCAATAGACTGAGACTGAGTCAATAAGGTGTGATCCTTAGCATACTTTGCAGAAGATTCTGGCACTAGATAGTGTATCCCACCTTGCTCCTTAGCACCCCCATCGTCTTCTCTGTGGCGAGATCCTGAAAAACACAGTGAGTAGGGAAGAAAGTTATAGTGCAATTCAAATCTTTATAAATTTATGGATAGAAAGAAGATTAGTGGAGAGTTTGGGAACATAAAGAACATTTTGGAGATGTAAGGAAGGCTGTAAATATATGTTACCGGAACCCACAACTGATGTGTGTGAGCCATCAGCTACGACAATTGTATGGGTGCCAACAGTAGGGTTATAAGAAAGAAAAGAGTCAGCACAACAAGTCATATGATCAGTAACACCAGAATTGATAATCCAAGAATGTTTAAAATCAGTACAAGAAGAAAAGAATGAGTAGTGGAGCTCATACTAGTCATATCCAAAGTACTAGTACTAGATGGCTTACTCAGAGAATCGAGCATAATTCGAATCTGCTCCATCTCATCACGGCGAATAGAAATAAATTCCGAAGATACACAATTTGAACTCGCCATAATGTTGAGGTGAGAATCACACAAATGCAAATCCAAATGATGTTTGACTGAAGAGAAAACCCAGATCTGTAAAGAGGAGACTGTAACATCCTCGTCTCAAGCTGGTGCAATTAACATACACATGATACTAAAACATGCATCAGCGGAAGATTTGACTTATAATCTTACATTAGCTTACGAAAATACGAGCTAACTTTTTTCTTTCTTTAATCCACTTCACAAGATATATAGCATTTCATAACTTTCTTCTAATTAATTTTTCATGTGATGGAAACTAAAATCGGACAGCGTAACAACGGTAAATCAGACAAATGGCGATTTAGAAATCCCATGCTCAAGGTTCCCTGATAAACAATTCATATAATCCATAATTTCAGAAATCTCAGATATCCATCAAGGATCAAATACTCATCCATAGGCTCATGCATAAATTGGCTCCGTGCCATTATGTCTAACAACATTCATAACCAATAGGGGTGTGCATGGGTCAGGTCGGGTCAGGTTTTTGTGCCGACTCGATCCAACTTGGATTTTATAGGTAAGGTATTTTGACCCAACCCGCTTTAATTTGATCCAAGTCAGGTCTGACTTGGTT